TGGTTTTGTAAACTTTTTTGTTTTAGTTTTAGCAGAACTTTTATTTCCAAAGACTCCTCCCTAGAAGGTACCCGGTCTGAAAAACAATGAAATAGGTGAAAATAAAACCCATCTTGAATGGTGAGTACTTCTGATTTGGAACTCAAAAATCTAAGCTGTCCCATCCCTGCTCAAAACCCCTCTGTGGGCCCCACTGCCTTCAGGACAAAGTGCCATGTCCTCTAGGGACCCCACCATTGCAGATTCCAGTCCCCTTTCTGACACCAAAGCCAGCTCCAACTCTCACCTCTTCCCTGAACTCAGCTCTGCAAGTCTCATGCCTTCTAGACACCTCCCTCAAGGTGTCCCCAGCCCCCTTAGACCCACTGTCTCCAACTCCTCTTAGCATCTCCCAAACCTGCTCCTTCTCCGGGTCCCCATTCTAAGGACAGCCGTCCTACCCACCCTTCAGGTCTCAGCCTGTGTGCCAGCTTCTCCAGAAACCCCTCCCTGACTCTGGGGAGTCCTGGCTTCATCCTAAACGCCACCCCCCCCTCCCCCAATGTGTCCACGTGGCCTTCTGAGGGTCTCTCCCACCCCCTCCCCCTTTTCTCTCCCATGGCTTCAACCTGGCCACCTTTCCAGCCTTCACTCAACCCTTCTAACACCCCTCCGAGTTTGACTTGTCTTCCATCCCCGCTCAAAAGCTCTCCGTGGGCCCCCAGTGTCCTCACTGTGGACCCGAGTCCGAACGATCTTCCCTCTAACTTACCCTCGCCATCCTTGGTGACCCAGCCACTTTTAATGTCTTTCGGTTCCTTGAACTGAAACCACGTTTACCACCAACCCTCCCACAGCTTCTCCTTTCATCTTGCTCACTCCTATCAACTCCAGTACCATCTAGCCAGGAAGCCCTCCCTCACCCCTAGTGGGTTCAGGTACCCCTTTTGGGCTCTGACAGTCCCCCGAGGTTCTCCATCCTAGCCCTGACCCTCTGGGCTGCCACTGCCTGGTGTCGGAGCTGTTCTCCCATTGGACTGTGACACAGATGAGGGCAGAGCGAGGCTGTCTCAGTCACGTCTGTGTGCCCATGACCACCCAACACAGGGACAGTACATGGCAGGTGCTCAGTGGCCAGTTCTCATCTAGGTCAGTGGTCAGCAAACCGTGGCTCCCCAGCCACATGCGGCTCTTTGGCCCCTTGAGGGTGGCTCTTCCACAAAATACCACGTGTGGGAGTGCACATACAGTGCGACTGAAACTTCGAGGCCCAAGTGCAGAATTTGGTTTTCGGCCGGGGCAAGTCTTTGTTGAAGTGGTTCTACCACCGAGCCACACTCAAGGGGCCAAAGAGCCACATGTGGCTCCCGAGTCACAGTTTGCCGACCACTGATCTAGGTATTCAACTTGTATTTATTCAGTGACTACCTGCTGACAAGCCCTGCCTGGAAATTGAAGATGCAGCATAGAAGAGAAACAAAATCCCTGGTAAAGATGGCATTTGGGGGCAGCGGGGAGTGAGACAAAGGTCAGTGAGTGACACATAAAACGTGTCTTGAAGAAAAAGAAAGCAGGGAGGAGAATGGTGGCATTACAACAGAAAATGGTGGGTATCTGAATTCAAAAATAACACAACATGTCTGGTGAAAAGCATTATTATCCCTGTTTTTCAGATGCGGGGAAGGCTCAGGGAAATTACTCCCTACGCTGCAGTGTCAGCTTGCTGGCCGAATTTGAACAGAGCTCAGTTCTGCTCCAGGATACACTGCGAGACCGCCTCAGGCACAGAGAAACAGGGCGCCTGGGAGGGAGGCCTGCGCCTGTGAAAGTGCAGGATGTGGGACTAGAAGGGACACAACCAGGAGACAGTGGAGCCAGGATTTGAACTCAGTCTGCCTCAGGCCCATGGGGCTGACAGGTGCCTCTCCTGCTGTTGATGACCTGCAGTTCAGTAGATGCCTGTCCCTCCTCTCTCCCCAACAGCAAATGAACCCAGAGGTGGCTTTGGCCCTTCAAAAACTACCAATATCCCTCCCCCTTCCGATCCTTGAGAGGACCTTGAGAAGCTTCTTCCATTCGAAAGGCATGCTGCTATGAGTGCAGCTTTAAGAAGAGGACTCTGGCGCTCCTTCCAACCAGGCTGATCTTGCCAATCCATCCTGGTACTTGGCTGCTGCTTTGGGTCACATCATGTCACATCAATGGTGTCCCTCTCCTCCGCCAAATCCTCCAGTGGCCCCCGCCACCTCACTCAGAGCCATACTGATGGCCCTCAGCGCTCCACTGACCTCATCCTCCAGCCCTCGCCTCCCTCACTGGCCTCCTTGCTACCCCTTAAATACTCCATGTTCTCCCCTCAGGGCCTTGGTGTTTGCTGTTCTCTCTGTCTGAAAGGACAGCCACGCCACTCTCCCTTAATTCGGGTCTTTGTTCAAACATCACCACATCAGAAAACCTTTTCTCACCACTTTATTTAAAACTACAGCCTTGCCGAAGCCGGTTTGGCTCAGCGGTAGAGCGTCAGTCTGCGGACTGAAAGGTCCCAGGTTCGATTCCGGTCAAGGGCATGTACACTGGTTGCGGGCACATCCCCGGTAGGAGGTTTGCAAGAGGCAGCTGGTCGATGTTTCTCTCTCATCAACGTTTCTAGCTTTCTATCTCTCTCCCTTCCTCTCTTAAAAAAATCAATAAAATATATATATTAAAAAAATAATAAAAAATAAAAAAATAAAACTACAGCCTCTATCGTGCAGTTCCACCCCCTCCTAAAACACCGTACAACCTCCTTACCTGTTGTCTGATTGTCTCTTTTCCCTGCTAGATTGTACACTCCATGGGGCAGAGATCTCTGGGTTCGTTCACTGATGTGTGCCCAGTGCCTAGGCCAGGGCTGGCCATTAGAACATGCTTTCTAGATAGTTGCTGAGTGAATAACTTGTGTTTTCATTCCCGTGTTTCAGGAATGAAACTGAGGCACAGCACATTAAGCTTTCTGCCCAGATCGTGCAATTATTTAAGTATGAAATGCTAGACTCGCCTGACTGGCATGGCTTAGTGGTGGAGCGCCAACCTATGAACCAGGAGGTCTCACAATTTGATTCCCGGTCAGGGCACATGCCCTAGGTTTGGGGCTCAATCCTCAGTGGGGGGCATAGAAGAGGCAGCAGATCAATGATTCTCCCTCACCACTGATGTTTCTATCTCTCTTTCCCTCTCCCTTCCTCTCTAAAAATAAATAAATTATATAATATGTAATATTTTATATATATATATCCCTGACTGGTTTGGCTCAGGGGATATAGAGTTGGCCTGCAGACTGAAGGGTCCCAGTTTCGATTCCAGACAAGGGCATGTACCTTGGTTGCAGGCACATCCCCGGTAGGGGGTGTGCAGGAGGCAGCTGATCGATGTTTCTCTCTCATGGATGTTTCTAATTCTCTATCCCTCTCCTTTCCTCTCTGTAAAAAATCAATAAAATATATTTTAAAAAATAAAAAATAAATGCTAGAATGAAGATTGTAATCAAGTGTTTCAGACCCAGGGACACACTGTGGCCACTGTCCTCCACTGCCTCACGCAGGCCCGCTGACTGAATAAAATCCTTACCATTCCACCTGGGGACTCTGTTGCTGACGCTTGACTGAGGTGTGGTGCGACCTGCCTCAACTCTCTGTCCCTCAATTCTAGAAGTCAAGGGAGGTCTAGGTCTGAGCTACCTATAGTCTCCCCCCACCACGCCCTCCTCAACTCATACCACTGTACCAGCTAAATGCTCGAATTTTTGGGGGTACAGATCACTCAATCCAACAAGGTAAAGAGATAAGGATTAACTATATACCTGAGCAAGATTCGTGATGTCTGATGGGCCACCCCCTCAAGTGTGGTGCTTGGCGGATGTGAGGACCATGTAGAAATTGTGATGTGGGTGGCTGCCATGGTAGATGGTATCATGCATGGTATAGGGTGTGTGACTGACGCCAGAGCAATGAAGAAGTGGGGGCAGGGAGAGAGCAACAATGAGGAGGTGAAGGTGATTGGACCAGGGCGAGAGTGATATGGTTACTAACAATATTAGCCCAAATTGCCATGTCAAACTGGACATAACACAAGAATGAACTGGCAGAATCCTCCCAATCACCCTGATGTAGGTGTCCTGTGTGCATTTCATGGACGAGGAAGCTTGTGTGATTGGTAGCCAAGGTTCCCCAGAAGTTTGGTGGTGGAGCTGGATTCTGGCTCTCCCCCGAATGGTGGTGAGTGTGTGACGTGGGCAAATGCTGGAGACGGGTTTGAAAGGAACCCTGTAAGGCGGGCAGCTCCTTAGGGGGAAAATCAGAAGCATGAGGCATGGACGGTGACAGCTGGAGGAGCAAACGTGACATGGGAGAGATGGTGACACAGGGGCGAGCATAACATGAACAAGATTTAAAGTGAGGGTGACAGAAGGCGTGCGCAGGTGACACGGGAATATGAGTTTATGAGAAATGAGGATTTCTTATCAATAGTGCCAGTGACACAAGACGCCAATGGCGACTACAAGGGGCAATTGTGAGCTCTGGTGGCAATGGGCGCTTAAAGGGGACAACAGCGACAGAAGGAAGGTGACAGCGACAGAGGCGGAATGGTGACCATTTAAGCGGGAGGATGGCGATATAGAGGGACCGAGAACAACATAAGTAGAGACGCATTACCGACAGAGGTGACAACACAAGGAGGGCAGCGGAGGCGCCGCGCCCCCAGATCGCACAGTACCTGCACTGCCCGGCTTCCACGCCAGGGCCCAGCCGGGCACGAACCCGCGGTGTTGGAGCTGGGCCCCACCTCCCCCGCTGTGCGCAGGCGCACTCTGGCTGGAATGCGGCCTCGCCCGCGCGTTTCTGATTGGACGCGCCCCTCTTCAGTGCAGCCGAGGGAAGTGCCGGGGAGACCGTGAGTGACCACGTGACGGCTGCCGCCTCACTCTCGTTGGTGGTGGCCCTGGTGGCTAGAGCGGCCGCGGGCGGGTCAACCCGGCTTCCGGCGGCAGCGGCTGTGCTTTCGGGATGGACCTCCGGGCCAGGGGCGGGGGGAGTCTGACAGTTGGTTCCTCCCGGAGGGGCGGGCGGGCGGCGCGAGTGGGCGCGGGCCCCGAGGGCCAGGTGAGGCGTGGGCCGGGAGAGGTGGGATTGGGCCGGAAACGGTGGGGATGGATGGCATCCGGGCCCACGGGCGCTGCGATGCGGTCCTGGATGAAAGACCTTTCTCTGAACCTCAGTTTCCTCCTCTGTAGAGTGGGGGCCCGTATCTGACTGTGTCTGGTTTGGAATGAGAAGTCAGCTCGCGCTTGTCGGAGCCGCTCGCTCCGCGCCTGGCACAGTGGTCACTCGTTAATATATTGTTATTGTTAGTTTTGATGATGATGCTTGTGCTTGGCGGGAAAGATCTGGATGTGGGAACGTGAAAGATTGTTGGACTTGGAAGCAGCAGATTTCAGTTCAAGTCTCAGCACCACGTTGTAGCAGCGGGCCTGTGCCTTCACCTCTCTGAACCTTATTCATGTAGTGAGGGCGAACAGTCCGAACATCATCGGGTCCTTCTTAGGATGCTGATGAAATGTGCGTGTACGGCTCCTAGCACAGGGCCTGGGACCGTATTGAGTAAAACTCAGTAGACTCATAATAATGATTTGAGAGTCATTGTTGTAGCTGGGACTTCCCAGGAAGTGAAAGGAGGGAGGAAGCTCAAAGACAGCAACAGGAACAACTTGGAATCTGGAGCCAGGGAAATCGACATCCTGTCACTTACAAATTTCCAAATCCCATGATTTTTCTTTTTCTTTAAAACTACTGATGCATCCCCCTCCAGTCAGTTAACTTGAGAAGGAAAAGTTTTTTGCTGTCCTAATGAAAACTGGCCTGGCTGGCCATGAGAAGGAACTCTTAACCTGAAATACAATGGAAGCAGAACAATCCATTAAATTGAGTGTGATTCCACATTGTCAGGTACATAGAACTCATCAAGTTACCTAATACTCTGTTCCCAGCTCACATTTTGCATAGGACTGGTATAAGTCAGTGACTGTCTTTTCCTTTTCCTAGCTCACTGAAGATTTATTTTATTTATTGCACACATATCACCTGCTGAGCACTGTGTTTAAGAAATCATGCTTGGTGTTTATGAACTCATACACATATCACCTGTTGAGCATTATTCCAAGTGCTTGGTGTTTTGAACTCATTTATTGAACTCATTTATTCCTTTAAGAATATATTTACTCTTATCATTCTTATTTTGTAACCGAGGGATGTGAAATCCAGAAAGGTTGCCCTGCCTGCATGGCTCCGGCTCCCGCGTGTGTCAGTGGTTGAGCATCAACTACTATGAACCAGGAAGTCACAGTTCAATTCCTGGTCAGGGCACATGCCTGGGTTGTGGGCTTGACCTCCAGTGTAGGGTGTGCGGGAGGCAGCTGATTAATGATTCTCTCTTATTGATTTTTTTTTAAAATATGTTTTTATTGATTTCAGAGAGGAAGAGAGGGCGAGAGAGAGCAACAACCTGGGCATATACTCTGACCAGGATTCGAACTGTGACTTCTTGAGGGATGCTGGCTGCACTTATCACTGATGTTTCTCTCTCTCCCTTTCCCTTCCTCTCTGAAACCAATTTTTAAAAAAAGCAAGAAAGGTTAAGCCATTTACCCCAGAGTCAGGGTTAGGAAGTGGTAAATTAAGATTTGTATCCATGCCTTTTAAGGGCTCAGCACAGGTTATCTGGTTTATGGTAATTACTTGAGTTTTGGGCATGGTCATTTTTTTCATTATTATTAATGTTATAATTCTCACCATTCAGAGAACCGGCGCTGGAGATGGGCTTTTAATGGTGGAGAGAGGAAACTGAGTCCAGCAGGGAATTCTGCAGCTGTCGGAGGATACCAGTACTTAAAGGCTTCTGGTAAGCTTTAACTGAAACCTTGCAAAGACAGGTCATAGTGCCTGATTCATAGTAAGCCCTTGGCCAACATTATCAATCACAGCCATTGGACTGGCTTAGGTTCAAGTCCAGGCCCTGTAGTTACTTACTGTGTGACCTTGGAGCTGCCATTCTCATCTGTAACATGGGGATCATTTTTACTTTCTTCCCCTGTGGTTGAGATGTATATACTCAGTCCCTGGCATGCGAACATTCAGTGGAAGCTACTGCATGGGCACTGGAATCGGGGAGAACTTCTTTTTGAATTCCAGTAAAGCCATTTGCTAGACGTGGCATTTGGCAAATGACTGCAGCTCAATGAGTTGGTTTCTTTCATTGATTAAAATGGGTCTGATGCTAGTCCTCACTCATGGGGAGGTTGTGAGGCATCAGCATGTGCCTGGCTCAGGTCCTGGTGTATCAGATGTTTTTCTGCCTGACTATGGAAGCCTCTTTGAGAGATGCAGTTAAGTTATTCTTGTCCAGTAGTAAAACCCAGGAAGGGAAGTGGGTGTTAGAGAGTCAAGTACAGGGTGGAATGATGTCGGTGATCATGTTCATCAGTGAAGGATGCAGTAGGAGCCAGGGAAAGGCAGGATGAATCCTTGCTGGGGGAATCTCATGTGTAGGGAAGCTTCACAAAGAAAGCAGCAGCAAGGCAGAGTGGAGAGGGGCTTGCCCGGAGAACAGGAAAAGATAACATTCCACGCACAAGTGCCATTGTGTGTGAGAACTGGGAGGTGGGCAAAGCCCCTGAGTGTTAGGGACAGCTAGGTGGGAAGCCTGGGCGTTAAGAATAGCCACGCCTGGAGAGCATTAGACAGCATCTCAGGTGCCTCACACATGGAAGCTCATGTGCCCTCCCGGCATTTGTCTAAGGCTGTGGTCGGCAAACTGCGGCTCGCGAGCCACATGCAGCTCTTTGGCCCCTTGAGTGTGGCTCTTCCACAAAATACCACGTCCTGGGCGAGTCTAATTTGAAGAAGTGGCGTTAGAAGAAGTTTAAGTTTAAAAAATTTGGCCCTCAAAAGAAATTTCAGTCATTGTCCTGTTGCTATTTGGATCTGTTGACTAATGAGTTTGCCGACCACTGGGCTAAGGTAAGGAACGTTTGTATCTTCCCAGTTTACAGATGTGGACGCTGAAGCTCGACTGGTAAAGTAATTTGCCCAGACCACACAGCTAGTAAGTGGTAGAGCCCGATTTGAACCCTGCAGGCTGGTTACAGAGTCTTTAATTTTTTACTGCTTGTTAGGCCATCAGAATGGGGGGGTGTGGGGTCAACAGACGGAGTGCGCTGGACAGAGGGCTTTCTGCACCCATAGAGGAGGTGGACGGGGGTGAGGGCAAAGGATCAGAGTTGGGGGCTGGGGTGGGTGGCAGGGAGCAGCGTGAAGGATGAAGGAGGGGAACTGGAGGATATGGCAGGGTCAGAGAAGAGGATGAGGGCTAAGTGGGAAGTTTGGGACGGGTGTTCCTTGAGTCAGATAGCATTGAATCATCAGGAGAGAAAGTTACTTCTGTTAGTTTCTGTTCAGAGCTGCTATTAATGTCCAGGAGGAAGTTTTCATTGGTGCTAATATGTCTCTAACACCTTTCTAGCACCTGCTAATCTCTTAGGTGAAAATTGGCTTTTCATTTCTTCTCTGAGGCCCCTCATGATTTGGTGCCCCACCTGTCTGCCCTTGTCTCCTCTCACTCTCCTGCTCCCTCCACGCAGCCAGGCCAGCTGCTGCTGCCCCTCCAACATGTCAGACGGGCTCCTGGCTCAGGCATCGGACTTACTTTCTCCCGGAAAACTCTTCTGTAAAACCACACTGCTCACTCCTCCACCACGGTTGGGTCTCTGAATGCCACTTTAGAGTGTTTTTCCCTGATCACCCTCTTTAGTATTGCAGCCTCTTTCTTCCCAGGCCCTCCTTGTTTCTCCATGACACTAAAGGCTTTCTGACACATCACACCTTTTTTTTCCTTTAAAAAAATATTTTTATTGATTTTTAGAGAGAGAGGAAGGGAATGGATGGTGGGGGACACACAGAGAGAAACGTCAATGTGAGAATAAAATGGCAAAACATTGACTGGTTGCCTCCTGCATGCCCCCTTTTGGACATCAGGCCTATAGCCCAGGCATGTGCCCTAACTGGAAATCGAACCGTGACCTCCTGGTCATAAATTGATGCTCAACCACTGAGCAACACTGGCCTGGCTGACACACCACATCTTAACTGTTCTGCTTGTTTCCTCTCTCTGTTTCCCTTCCCTCTTTCCTTACCTAGATGCCAGATTTCATTTTTTGTTCAGCTAAGCATCCCTAGCTCCTAGAACAGTGCTTCACAACAGGTGTGAAGCATACAGTTTTGAATGAATGAATGAACGAATGAATGAAGTATGGTTAAAGTCTTGGGTAGGGGCTGTCTTTTTTCCCTCTCTTTTTCCTTCCTCTCTTTTTCTAGCTAGAAACTTTTGAGGTGTGTGGAATAGAGCTGTGGACATTTGCTGTCCCAGGCAAAGTGATAGTTGTGGTGGCAGCTCTGTCCCAGGCTGACTTCCTGCCAGCTGCTCCAGGCTATTCCTGGGCTCTGAGCCCCCGGTCCAGGAACTCTCCTCTGGCGGCAGGCAGGCAGCTCGAGAGGGACAAGCCTCACAGCCGGTGGCAACGCAACGCCCTCTCCCCTTGTTCTCTCTTCCAGGCTCCAGGGAGCTGCGTGGGGGCCAGGGCGACAATGGTCTCAGTGACAATGGGTGAGTCTGTGGAATTCTCTCTGGGGCCCCCCTCCCCACTGACCTCTTTGAGGTATGACCTTGCCGGTGAAGATGTGGGGGAGGGAGGGCCAGTCACAGACAGGAACAGCTGTGCTGTGAGGACCATGGAGGTGGAGCCAGGCCTGCTCAAGGCCTACCCGCTTCCTCTCTGTGTCTTTGCCTCCTGCAGCCTCGTTAGCCATAAAGGACTTAGGTATTGAAGTCCAGCAGATCCCCCACATGGCCTCTCAGAGTCTCCGTTTTCTCACTTGTAGACTGGAGATACTAATACTTCCTACAACCTGGGGTGTAATGAGGATTAAGGAGGTTATTGCATGTAAGATTCTGGGCATAGTTTTTTTTGCAGTTCATTTTGCTTTAGGCAGCTAGCTACTCCCAACCTATGTGGTACTTTTTCCCCCCTTAAGAGCTTGATTGACATACAGTTCATATTTTTACAATGACTTGTTTAAAGGCTACAATTCAGAAGTTTTTATACATATCTTTCTTTTCTTCTTTTTTCAAAATACATTTTTATTGATATCAGAGTGGGAGAGAGAGATAGAACATCAGTGATGAAGAGAATCATTGATTGGCTGTCTCCTGTACACCCCCAACTGGGGATCGAGCCCACAACCTGGAATCATGTGCCCTTGAGTGGAATCGACCCCAGGACCCTTGAGTCCACAGGCTAATTATCCACTGAGCCAAACTGGCTAGGGCTATATATTTTTTTCTATTCACAGATTTGTGCAACCATCACCACAATCAATTTCTTTCAAAACATTTTCATCTCCCCCAAAAACCCAATGTCCATTAGCAGTCACTCCCTCCACCCCCGGACCCTCAAACCACTAATTCACAAATTCACTTTCTATCTCTATGGATCTCTAGATTTACCTGTTCTGGACATCTATACTAATAATAGAGGAATATGCAAATTGTCTGGGATGCTGTCACAGTAACAGTAACAACTAAACAGCAGGTTGACATACTGCATGGGGCAATAGGCCTGCAGGGGGGTTAGTGAGGGATGACCAAACAACTAGACAGCAGGCTGTGAGGGGTGACCAGGCCAGCAAGGGGGTAGTTGGGGGCAACCAGGCTGGCAGAGGGGGCAGTTGGCGACCAGGCCAGCTGGGGAAGGGGGGGGAAAGGGGCCGCTAGTTAGGGGCAACCAGGCCAGTAGAAGGGGATGGTTGGGGGCAAAGGGAGGGCAGTTGGGGGCAACAAGGCCAACAGGCAGAGGCAGTTAGGGGTGATCAGGCTGGCAGGGGGGGGGCAGTTAGGGGCGATCAGGCAGGCAGGCAGGTGAGCAGTTAGGAGCCAGTGGTCCCAGATTGTGAGAGGGATGTCTGACTGAGGATTGGGCCTAAACCGGCAGTCGGACATTCCCTGAGGGGCTCTGGATTGGAGAAGGTGCAGGCCGGGTTGAGGGACACCCCCCCCCCCACATATCGTGCACAAATTTCATGCACCAGGCCTCTAGTTTCACATAAATGGAATCATTATGTGGTGCTTTTCTTTTTCTTTTTAATATATTTTATTAGTTTTTTACAGAGAGGAAGGGAGAGAGATAGCTAGAAACGTCGATGAGAGAGAAACATTGATCAGCTGCCTCCTGCACACCTCCTACCTGGGATGTGCCCGCAACCAATGTACATGCCCTTGACCGGAATCAAACCTGGGGCCCTTCAGTCCCCAGACTGATGCTCTACCACTGAGCCAAACTGGTTTCGGCTATGTGGTGCTTTTCAATACTTAGACAAAATTGCCTGCTTTTGGCTGATGGAACCCAGGGTACCCTGGCTACGCAGGTGCCTAGAGCCCATGCAGAATAGAAGGTACCGTTTCTTCTGGGCAGGAGCCCACCTTTCTCAATAAGAGATGCAGGCCTGTGACCTGGTGGGCAGGGCCCTCCTTGGGTGAGGTGTGGCTGTGGGTTTGTGCCGAGCCCCGCATTGCCACCTATAAAACATCTGACCTGGAGTGTGTCTCAAGCGAATGAGCCTCAGTTGTCTCAAGCAAAATGAGCACAGCAATACCAAATTTTTTCTAATCTCATTGCCCAACCCCCAGCCAGCCTGGCTCAGTTGGTTGGAGTGTCGGCCTATGCACTGAAGGGTTTCAAGTTGGATTTGATATTTTTCTCTCTCCCCCCTTGCTCCCTTCCTCTCCCTTCCTTTCGCTAAGCATATCCTTGAGTGAGGATTAAAATAAACAAAGTAGCAGGGAATGTTGGATGTAATATTATGTATCATGAGAAAGAAAAAGAATGTTGTCAATTAAACTGGCAGCTCGGCTTCGTTGTTGAGCATCGACCTATGAATTAGGAGGTCACAATTTGATTCCCCGTCAGGTCTGTCAGGGCACATGCCGAGGATGGGGGCTTGATCCCCAGTAGGGGCATGCAGGAGGCAGCCGATCAATGATTCTCTCATCACTGATGCTTGATGCCTCTCTCTCTCTCTCCCTCTCCTTTTCTCTATGAAATCAATAAAAATATATTTTTAAAAACCCCACAAAAGACAATTATGGCACACCATCGATTGTGAGATAAATCCTGGTTTCAGAGATACTAAAAAAAAAAAAGAAAGATTTTACTTGAAATCAGTGATCTTACCTATCGCCTGGCCTAACAGAGGAGGGTCAATTTGTAGGTCACACCGAAGAAAACAAGAAGGAATTTAGAAACACTAAGCCAGGGGCGAGGTGCCCCCTCCCCTGCCTGCACCTCATTGGCCAAGTGGGGGAGTCAGTGCTGCTTAGCCACAGGTTGCCAGGCAGGTGAAATCCCATCGCCTGTGTGAGCACTCAGCCCTGGGCCTGGTGTTCGGTAAGCATTTAATTTGTGGGAGCCGTTGCTGTTGTGGTTTTGCTGTGGCTGCTCTCTAAAGAGGATAATGTGAGTAATGATCCTGTCCACCCACCAGCCACTTCTGAGTGGATCCAGTTCTTTAAGGAAGCCGGCATTCCTCCGGGACCTGCTGTCAATTACGCCGTGATGTTTGTGGATAATAGGTAAGGAGCGCTGAGGGGATGAGCTAAACTCGGGGAGAGGGGGGAGGAGCCAGGGAGCTGGCTGGCCCTCTGCCCTGGGCCACCGTGGCCTCACTGCTGACCCTCCCCTACAGGATCCAGAAGAGCATGCTGCTGGATCTTAACAAGGAAATCATGAATGAGCTGGGCGTGACTGTGGTGGGCGACATCATTGCCATCCTGAAGCATGCCAAGGTGGTACACCGCCAGGTGGGTGCTCTGTGCCATCTCTCTGTTCCTGGGTTTAGGGTTGGGGGGAGGGGCAGTGGCAGAGCTGACAGGAGGCTTAAAAGCAAAGGCAGGCAGACCTGGGATCCCAGGCTGGTTCTGCATTTGCTGTGTGACATTGGGCACATTGCCTAACCTCTCTGAGCCTTTGTCCATCTGTAGTTTGCACATAGGCAAACCTATTTTGCAGGATGATTGTAAATATTACATTATAAAGCCTAGTACAGTATAAACAGTAGGGCTTCAGTAAAAGCTCTCTGTATTATTATTACTAGTTGTCATCTTACTAATATAATTATCATGACCAGGATTCTTCTCTGTCCCCGGGACAGAAGCTTCCTATGTGGAGTCTAGTTGGTGACTTGGCCAACAGAATAGTGGTTCCATTCATTACTGGCCCTGCTGGTTGGCCCCTCTGGTTACAGTGTCCTTAGACTAATGATGTCACCTTCCTGAGTCTCTCGGAAACAGGCTTTTCACACACCCTGCTGCTTAGGGTGGCTTTGGCCATCTACCAAATAGTGTATGTGGCAAGGAGTGCTTGTGAAGTTACAATTGCTAACACTTACCATGTGCTTGCCATGCCGGCCAGGCTGTCTCTGCCCTTATACTTATTAACTCATTTGCTCCTCCCTACACTTGACCAAGAAGGAAACTTGCTTCAGAGCTGCACTCCAGCACTCTACTCTGCCACGGAGTGGCTGCTGCGTTACTCTCATACCCAGTAGCTCCCTCTGTCCCGGAGGTGGTCCTCACAGTTCCCATCCACAACAGGCCCCTCAGCGAGGGCTTTCTCCAGCCAGGGCGTTCTCTGCGTTACCACGGAGATGGTCACAGAGCAACACTTCTTTTTCTTTCAACTTTTAAATCTGGGAAAAATTTTTGACTTCTAGAAATGTTCCAACAGTAGTACAGAAAGTTTCTGTGTGTCCTTCACTCAGCTTCTCCGAATGTTAACATCTTACATAGTGGTGGAACATTTGTCAAAACTAAGAAATGTACCGTAGTATGCTAGCATTAACTAAACCACAGGCTTTTGGGATTTCATTCCTTTTCCACTGATACCCTTTTCCTATTCCAGGATGCCTCACTGCATTGACTGATATCTTCTTTGTCTCTCTCTTTAAAAATTTTTTAGAGGGAGGGAGAGAAACATTGATTTGTTGTTCCACTATTCATGCATCCATTGGTTGCTTCCTGGATGTGCCCTAACTGGGGATCAAACCCACAGCCTTAGCTTATTGGGACAAGGCTCTAACCAACTAAGCTCCATGGCCAGGGCTAAATTTATTTTCAATTACAATTGACACACAATATGATATTCGTTTCAGGTATCAATATAGTGATTTGACATGACCTTGACAGTTTTGTAGAGCACTGGTCAGATGTTTTGTAGACTGTCCCTCAGGGTTTGTCTGTTTTCTCCTGGTTAGGAGTTAAATTTTTTTTTTCTAGCAGCTCTGATACCCCTAGTTTGGTTTAGATTTCTGAGTCCCATGTTCCCTCACCTGATGCCCCATCCCCCTGGTAACCCAGGCACTTTTTATTTTTATTTTATTTTTTTACAGGACATGTGCAAAGCTGCTACTGAGTCGGTGCCCTGCAGCCCTAGCCCCCTCCCAGGCGAGATTCGCCGAGGCACCCCTAGTGGTGAGTCCCATCTGCTCATTCTTACCCTCCTGCAGTGAAGGAAACACACCTGGAGTCTGCAGAGGTGGCAGCAAAGGCATCTGAGGCCCTCTTCTCTAAGGGAAAAATACACTGGGTGATGAGGGGCTGATGGTAGTTCTGTCCTGTAGTCACTGCGAACATCGAATTAGTGAACACTGAATCTCGCTCCAATAGGCAATACGAGGTTAGGTTTCTGCAAACCTCTGATCACCACATTCTTCCTTAGCTGATCAATACTGAACCTTCTTTTATGTGAGTTTCCATTTAAAGACACTTTATTTACTGTATATTGTTGATTCATTAACATTGAACTGTGATCAATAACACTATAACTCATTCCTGAACGGAGCTAATCTCACACAAGTATTTTTTCCATAAGGCACATACATCAGTGCCTCCTTGCACTCAGGAACACAGACAGCACTTCAGTGCTGTGCTTAGGGGGTCGTTTTAATCAGCACGGTCATAGACCACTTGTTCACGGTATGAGAGCTGAAACAAGAACACAGCGCGTGGCTTGTTCGACCTCAGTTGGCAGTGTGGGTGTTGGGCGACTCAGGTTTTTCTCCTTTCTAGGCATGTCTGTGAATGACCACAGAGGCACTATGAGTGTTCGTTTTGGGGGCTACAAGTAAATTTTAGTGAAGAGGTGAATTTGAAAATATGGAATCAGTGAATGGTGAGAACCGGCTCTAGTTATACTTTTGTTTCTTTATTATTATGATACATTAAAAAAAAATAAACATAAAAAAACACCTAAAAAATATAACATGCATATTTGTTAGCCTTTGCTACTTAGCAAGCCACCCCAAAACTGGTTTAAAACACCGACATTTCTTTCCCATGGCTTTATGACTTGGTTGGTCATTTCTGCTCCGGGCCCGCTCAGCTGGTCCCGGTGATCCAGGAGATCTCAGCACACATCTGATGGTTGGCTGGATGTCAACGGGGCCATTGGGCACGAGCCTCTTATTTCCTAGCAGCTAGCTCAGCCTCTTCCATACAAGGGTGGGTGCAGGACTCCCAAAAGCAGCACAGGAAGGCAGCCCCCATTTTTCAGATCACCTCTAAGCCTCTGCTTGTATAACATTTGCTCTTGTCCCATTGGCCAGAACCAGTCACATGGCTCAACCCAGAGTCATTGTAGGCAGGGCCTACGCAAAGGCATGGTCAAGGGAGGCTGAACAAATTGGGGGTTTGTTTCTGTAAACATCTCCTACAACTTACATGCAGAAAAGGGTTCAGATCACAACAGTACAGCTGAATGACCTCACAGACGGTACACGATGTGAGCAACAGTCATGATGTCAGAGCACAAAGCACCTGATGCTGACATTCAGGAGAGACAGACAGTTGTTTTCCCTTTGCCTAAATGGTGCTAACTTACCATGATTATATGTCTCCCTCCCATGCTGGGATTGGCCTCTGCTGCTCAGCCTTACATGCTACAGTTCTCACCTTATACCCTAGGGCAGTGGTCGGCAAACTCATCAGTCAACAGAGCCAAATATCAACAGTACAACAATTGAAATTTCTTTTGAGAGCCAATTTAAAAAATATATATATTTTTATTGATTTTTTACAGAGAGGAAGGAAGAGGGAAAGAGAGCTAGAAACATTGATGATGAGAGAAACATTGACCAGCTGCCTCCTGCACAACCCCCACTGGGGATGTGCTCACAACCAATGTACATGCCCTTGGCCGGAATCGAACCTGGGACCTTTCAGTCTGCAGACCGACGCTCTATATATTGAGGCAAACAGGTTTCGGTGAGAGCCAAATTTTTTAAACTTCTTTTAATGCCATTTCTTCAAAATAGACTCGCCCTGGCCGTGGTATTTTGTGGAAGAGCCACACTAAAGGGGCCAAAGAGCCGCATATGGCTCATGAGCGCAAAGTTTGCCGACCACAAGTCTAGGGCATCACTCTCCTGCTCTGTAGAAAACAGGGTCCATCAGAGACTGTCCCCCACGCCCAGAGGGAGGTCACCGCTTTTCTTTCCCCAGTGGAGCCAGACCCACATTCCCAGGCCTGGCTGAGTGACCCCACTCGGAATCCCAGCTCCCTGTCTGTATAGTTGGTTATCAGTAGGGTCTGTCTAGCACAGATGTGGGGGGTTTGGTGGTAGTGTTCATCTTTTCAGTAGATGCTGATTGAGGGCTGTGAAGTGTCAGAAATATGGGCACTGGGATACAGCAGTGAACAGGCAGGCTCCTCAGAGAGCTTGCGTGCTCTGGGAGAATCCACCAGTGAACAAATAATGCAGCTTAGTGTTGAGCAGCAACAAGGACTCTGAAGGAAGAGAAAGTGTAGAGCAGGGCAGGTTGGTGGGGTGGTCCAGGAAGCGTTCTCTGAGGAGACCATGTGAGAGGAGACCTGCGTGAAGAGGCCGAGCAGACCTGTGGAACCCGGGAACTGCGTGCCCCGCCAAGGGAACAGCTTGGCTGAAGTGCAGCGTGGAGAGGAGGGGCAAGGGGTGCATCACTAACTGATGGGTGAAGTATGGTAGGGGCCAGCCTGGTCTTGGGTCTCAGGAAAGACCCTCAGGGCAGGAAGGGGTAGGCTAGCTCCTGGAAAGACTGGCCCACCCAACCCCAGGCATCCCCACAGGAGGACCGCACCGCCACGAAGGAACTCTGGCTGCTCCTTCCCCGTTCAGTCCCAAGGCTGGCTCTGCCCCCTGCACTGACTCTTCCCTTTCCTCCCTGCAGCCGCCTCCCGAATGATCGCCAACAGCTTGAACCGAGACTCCCCACCTGGAACTCCCCCGAGGCGGCCAGACACCAGTACCTCTAAGATCTCTGTCACCGTGTCCAATAAGATGGCAGCAAAGAGTGCCAAGGCCGCTGGTGAGGGCCTGGGGCAGCTGGTGCGAGGGGCTGGAGGTGAATGTGGGCTGGCAGATGGGGGTCATGTTCCCAGCGTTGTGAGTGCCTGAAGGCCACCAGGTTCAAAGGGTTTGTCATTGATCAAGTCACCGCACCTCTGGGGGCCTCGCTTTCCACGCCTATAGAATGGGGCTGGGGGCGCCCTACCAGAGGACAGTCAGAAGCACCTGAGATGGTGTGTGTAAGCACAGGTGCACTTCGGTCTTTTTAATTTTATTTTATTGGGGTCTGAACACTTAACATGAGGTCTACCCTCTTAACAAAGTTTTAAGTGTACACAGCAGTACTGTTGACTAGAGGTGGTTCAGTCTTTTTTAACAGATGTTCACTGAGCCCCACATGGCAAAGAAGCTACTGTTCCTCTCAGCAGGCAGAGGGATCTTCCAGAACCCTCAACCAGATCTTTCACTCCTTTGTCTAGAACTCTCCAGGGCTTCCCATTATTCCAACAATAAAACCCAGTCCTAAGTGGATGCCTCTCTTGTGTCCCTTTCTCCTGCTGGCTGCCTCTGGCCCTTCCAGGATCCTCCCCGTGGGGCCTTTGCCCCGGGTCCCTTCTCTGCAGCGAGCTTCCTTTGCAGACTCCGAGGCTGGCCTTGCTCTTCTAGGTCTCAGCTTGAAAGCTGGGATTGGGACTCTGGCCTTAGGGCTGTCAAGCCCTCTCTGTGTTGCCACTTTCCCCCTTTGTTGGACCCATCCCACAACATGATGTTGGCACAAGTGGAACCTGAGGCCCGGGGAGGGGGCTTCGTAATCTGACCCCAGCCCCATCATGCCCTGCCCACTCTTTGGCACCCTGCGTGCTCCCTTTTTGCTGAGGGCGCTTGGGAGTGCCTCACCCCCCTTCTGGCCTTGTGATTTGCATGCCATGAGAAGGAAAGTTACAATTACTGTCTAAAGTATTGAAAAGTTAGCCTGGGAGGGACTGGCACTCTTCCCCCTCCACACATTGGAGGGAATTCTTTTTTGTAAAAATGGAGTTAAAATTTAGTTACATACAGATTGTAAGTTTAGGACTTTATTCATTTTTGAAAGGTGAGCACACCTGTGAAACCACTATCTGGTGGGGCCCTGTAACCTCCCCTCCCAACCATGTCTGAGGGGAGACTGGGCTGGGAGGGGAGCCTGCTTGGGTGGACAGCCACAGAGAACGGGAGGCCCACTGCAGCCTGGGGTTTCCGAGTACCTTCTGCCCGTCTGGCTCAGACCTCTGAGTTTCTCATCTGAGTTTCTCGGTGGTTCAGAGGCCGTGGTAATAGGGGTGGTTGGGAACATAAGGGGTTCCAGCCATGCGAATGCATGGAGATGAAGGGCACATATGTGCCCTTTGCAGGGCATTTGGTCCCTATCCTGGAAGAACATCCTATCCTAGAAGGCGCTCAGCCACACCCTCTTCCCCAGCTGCCCTGGCCCGCCGGGAAGAGGAGAGCCTGACTGTTCCCAGCAAGCGCCGCAGGGTCACTGCTGAGATGGAGGGGAAATACATCATCAACATGCCCAAGGGCACCACCCCCCGGACCCGCAAGATCCTTGAGCAACAGCAGGCGGCGAAAGGTACCGGGCTGGCAGGGGTGCACGCTGGCATAGGCTGTTTCTCTTTTGCTCTCATCCCGCTGGCGTTGGCTGGAAGCAGGCTGTAAAGGGACCCAGGGGACCTTGGACCAAGGGAACAGCAATGGAGCCATAGAAGAGGGGGTAGGCACCACCTGTGCCCTGTGCCCTGAGGTTAGCGTTGCAGGTCTGCTTAGTCCCTCAGCCTGGGCCTCTTCACGGGTGAGGGTGGGGAGGGTTCGGGGCGTGGATTTGGTGATGGCTGCCTCTGAAGCTGTGCTGTGTCTGGCTGAGGGCAGGTGTCCAAGAAGTGGGAATTGCCATGATGAGCCCGAGGGGTCTGGTTGAGATTCAGTCCAGCGCTGCAGCTTGTATTTGGTGCGTGGAGATGGCGCTCTGTGGACTCAGAATATAGTCTGTGTTCTCATGGGGGAACGTTCAGATGATGCGGAAGCACGTACAGTAAAAACAGACTGCTTCCCTCCCTCCCATCTCCCTGCCTGTCGCTAACTTTTCCAGGCTAACATCCATGAACTCACTTGCATCTGTATACATGTCCACACACATGGGTGTTTTTTCCTTCTAAATGTGTAGCATCATCCTGTAGGTATTATTCTGTTACTCTTCTATTGAGATCTTTTCACTTTAGTGTATGTACATCTACAGTCCATCCTCCGTATCCATGAGTTTTGCATCCGTGGACCCAACTAACTGCAGATTGAAAATATTCAGAGAAGCCCTGGCTGGTGTTTGCAGAGGTTAGAGCACTGGCCAGTGCATCAAAGGGTTTGGGGGTTTGATTCCTGGTCAAGGGCATGTACCTGGGTTGCAGGTTTGATCCCCACCCCAATCAGGGTGCATGTGGGAGGCAACCGACCGATGTCTCTCTCTCACATCAATGTTTCTCTCTCTCTTCCTCCTTCCCCATTACCCCTCTCTTTCTAAAAATCAATGGGAAAAAATATCCTCTGGTGAGGATTAACAGAAAAAGGAAAAAAGAAGAAAAAAAAAAAGAAGAAAATTATTCAAAGGGGGAAAAAAGCCCAGAAATTTCAAAAAAGCAAAACTTGAATTTGCCATGTGCTGAGTGCTACCCTTGATGCCTGTCAATGACAGAGTGATAAGTAGGTGTACCCTGCTTTAACACCATGAAAATAGAGATGATCTGCACATACTGTGCCATTTTATATGAGGGACTTGAACTTCTCGGATTTTGGTATTCATGGGGTACTGGAACGGCTATGTTCATTCTTGCTAATGATTGTTTAATATTTCCACAGTATTTGTGTATCGTATCAAGCATTCTGTTGGTGACTGTTAGGTTGTTATTTATAGAGAGAACTTGTTACCATTCATCAGATTTTCTCAGAGGTCTATGACCCCAAAAAGTGTGAGAGGCCCGAGTAGTGATCAAGAACTCTTCTGCACACACATTTGATGAACTTGTACGAGGTACAAGGACCATATGTCAATTTTAGCTCATCCTTCCCACAGCTGACACCAGCCAGCAGCCGGTGGGTTAAGGTCAGTGTTAACCAAAAAGTGTAGACAAAGCCTAACTGGGCCCAGCCTGTGCCTATTGTACCAGCGCTGCTTGGGATCCAACCTGCCGTGCTGTCCCCTCCCTTGTCTGCACAAGTTCACCCGGGTCTGGGCCACGGGGCCACTCAGCAGGTGCTGAACGATGGGCTTGCTTCCTCCAGGTCTCCACAGGACGTCTGTGTTCGACCGCCTCGGTGCCGAGACCAAGGCAGACACCACGACGGGCAATAAAGTAAGTTGGAGGTTGGGGAGCCACTCAGGGCTCTCAAATTCTTGTCCTCCCTGGGTGTTGTTCCTGACACTCCCACATCTCACCCCTGGCACACCCTGGGCCCATCCCACCTTCCTTTCTAGCCTCAGTTCCCTTCTTTGATTCCCATCTTCTGCCCTGACCTGTCCCGACATCCAGTCCTGGGGTCTGGCTGACTCCTGGATGCTGCCACCTTCAGCATCATCCCCAAAGCAACCCCTCTCCTGGGCCCTGCCTCAGGGGACGCCCCAAGGTCCTCATTCTAGGCAGTCACCAGACGGATGGCGCCATCTGTCTTGCCTGCTCTGCCGCCTCTCCCTGTCTGCATAGGGCAGTGGCCTCCGAACTGCTCACCCTGCAGCCCTTCTCCCCCAGCAGCAGTGGGTGCTGCCACAGGACAGCCGCTCCCGCCCCCTGCAAGCCCTCTCTTCTCCCCTTGGCCCTGCAGTAACATGCCCTGGGCATGGTGCCTAGGAGCACCCCACCTGGCCCCCTGCACAGGGTGAATCTGTCACCCCCTAGCTGCATGGCCTTGGCCATGGCACTTATGCCCTTCCCACCTTGGTTTCCTGTATAGTAGCGACCTCATCGGGTGATCGTGAGAATTAAGTGAGAGGTACCTGCATGGTGCTATGGGGTCTGGGGCGTGGTAAGCACCCTTCAATGTCACCAGCTGCATTTCCTGCCTCAGCCGCTCACCCACCAGGCCTTACCCGCTCTGGCCTCTTCTCACTTCCTAGAATCTTGGCATGAGCGTGGTAATGGCACTCAGGATCATGTGGCTTGAAGATGGAGCCACGTCAAGAGTGCGGCAGTGATTCTCACTCCGGCCTTGGGGGCTCAGCTGCTCCTTTTGCTGCTGATTCAGTCTGAGGTCTGAGGGCTTAAATGCTGGTGTCTTCCCTATTTCCCGCTCTCCAGCACCCTCCTCCCCTCCACAGAATATATCACTAGTAATTAGAGAATTACTTGTCACTTCCAGTACCAGGTCTGTCTTCCCCTCTGGACTCTGAGTCCCCTGAGGTCAGGGCCAGGCCTGTCTTGGGCACCTCTGTGTCCCCAGCACCACCCAGCACAGGGCCAGGTACAGAGTCAGGACTCAGAAAATGCCTGTCCAGTCATGACCGAATTTATCTTCTCTCCTGTTCATCTGTAAACCTTAGCTGTGGTCTTACCACTTTGTGGCATGTGCTTTTTCCTCTCTAGTCCCGGTCAACTCTCAGGTCTCATCTCAGATGTCCCTTCCTCAGGGAGCCTTTCCTTACCTCCACCCAAATCAGGAGCCTCCTCTGGGCTCCCCCAGTTCCCTGGACCTCCCGGCCATGGCTCCTGCCAGTGTCTATTTGTCACCAATGGGTGTTCCTCTCAACTTGGATCTCAGAGGCCAGCAGGCACATGTGGCAGCTGTCCATGAACACATGCTGAATGACTCACTTGTCCTGTCTCTGACTCCACAGCCCACGGGAGTCTTCAGCCGACTGGGGGCTACCCCAGAGATGGATGAGGATCTGGCCTGGGACAGCGACACCGACAGCAGCAGCTCTGTCCTACAGTACGCCGGGGTCCTGAAGAAGCTAGGCCCGGGCCCAACCAAGGCCAGTCCCCAGCCGGTGCTGACTGTCAAAGCCAAGGCCACAAGCTCAGCGATGACGGCCAGCACCCCTACATTGCGGCGCCTGGCCCTTCCCTCCCGCCCAGGGTCCCTGTCCAAAGTCAGCATCATCCAGAGACTGGGCAAGGCTGCCCCTGTGCCCGAGGCCCAGGACAGCCAGGTCACGAGCACCAAGAGTAAGTCATCAGCCGAGGTCAAGGTCACCATTAAGAGGACTCTGGGGCCCCGGGGGAGCAGCTCCAGCGAGGGCCTGGGTGCCCAGATGGACCATGCAGGCACTGTGAGCGTGTTCAAAAGACTGGGCCGCAGGACCTTCTAGCCCACAGGTGGGGCCCAGGCCCCTCTCCAGGCTCTTGACTCCATCAGTCTCCAGCCAGGCCCAGCCTTGGATGGCACTGCGGTCTCCCTCAGGCATCCAGCCCGGCCCAAGCTGTGTGGGGATGCATCCCGTTTACTGAGTCCGAGATGGTCGTTGTGGCCTGGCTGGCCACTCTGGGACTTTCCCTTCTCTCGTGTCCTCTGTTCCGTCCTTTCCGACTGTGGCCTTGGCAGGGCCCTCCTTTCTACCTCTCCCGAGTGCCAAGTGCCCTTTATCCCTCCTATATGCCCGCCCTCCCTCTCAGCAGCCTCCACTGCCTCAAACCCCAGCTTCTCGGCCTCTTGGTCCCCAGGAGCAGGTGTTGCCCGGGGGTCTCCCTTATTCCCCCACCCTGCCACTTCCTGACTTCCCTCCCATCACTCTTCCGGCCCCCACCCCCCAACTTTAACTTCTTTTTTTCTCCCTATTCTTCATTCTATTCATTTATCTTCTGTTTTCTGTCCATGTGGTAAGGCCCGACTGTCCGCTGCATCCTGCCTGACCCTCCTGCACCTCCGGCCTCCCAGCGGCCCCCTCGTCGACAGTGGCGTCGAGCCTGTTGAGACTGTTAGCAGCCTCACTCCCAGGCTGGAGGGACCTCCCCAGACCCTGGGCTGCAGCAGGGGCACCTCCGTCTTCCTGCCCTGGGCGTCTTTTCTCTGAAAGGCAGTGGCGGGTGGTGGGCAAGGGGCACTGGGAAGGGAGGCCGGTGCCGAGAGAAGAAAATAGCTGTTTTAATATATTTTTGACTTTCAAATGTTTTCCTCCCCTCCTTTAAGGTGAGTCACAGGATTGCGTTTCACACAAAGCATGTGATGGAGGGGTTGCAGTGAAGAGTTGGGCTATGTCTCTGAATGTCAGGCTCCCTGCACACATGTGGGCCATGTCTGCTGCAGGCCAAGTCCAGGGGAGCACTGGCCGCGGTCAGCGTGCAGCTGGGCCTCCTCCCCTCACCAGAATGCTGCCTCGGTTCTGTCCCTCTGCCTCCCCCTTCCTAGGTTCACCTGTTTCTGTCTCTCTCTCTGTTGGTGGCTTCCAAGTTGCAGGCTCCATTTGAAGGTGAGGGATTCATGTGGGTTTGATTTCCACTTGTTCGCCGCTGTACAGCCCCTACTCTGTGCTCTAGGAGCTGGGACCTCTGTGAGCAAGACAGACAAGCCCTGCCCATGGGTGCTGACTGCTCCAGCCAGGGAGATGGGCATTGAAGTGACCACGGACTGAGGGATGAGTGAAAGTGGCCGGGGCCTCTTTACTAATTTATTTTATTTTTTAAAATATATTTTATTGATTTCAGAGAGGAAGGGAGTGGGATAGAGAGATAGAAACATCAATGATGAGAGAGAATCATTGATTAGTTGCTTCCTGCCCGCCCCTACTGAGGATCATGCTGCCACCTGGGCATGTGCCCTTGACCAGAATCAAACCAGCACCTCTCAGTCTGCAGGCGGACGCTCTAAACCAGCTGGGGCAGACCAGGGCCTCTTCAGGTGTTGGGGGTAGGAAGACCTTTTGGGGGAGGTGCCAGGCTGAGCTGGGAATGAGAAAGCAGCTACATAAAGTTCAAGAGGAGTGTTCAGGCAGAAGACACGGCTGCGCAGAGGCCTGCCTTGGACAAGGAGCGCAGAGAGGCCCGTGTGGCCGCCAAGGAGTGAGGGCCTGCCCTTCAGCACAGGTGGGGGGTGGGGGGTCCTACTGAGGCTTTACAACTCTGCAGGAGGAATTTGGACATCACCCCCAGAGCACTGAGGAGTGGGGAGGTTTGAGGCAGGCAGTAATGACCTGAGTTGCCTTCTATGAAGCTGGCTGTGGCCCTAGGAGGATAAGTTGCTGGAGGGTAGGGTGGAGCAGGGAGGCAGTAGCTGGAGAAAGGAAGGTTGGTGGGGAGGACAGAAATGGATGGCCTCAGTGTGCTTCAGAGGAGCAGCAGGGTGCTCTGAGAGACTGGGCGTTGGGGTAGGGGGGAGGTAAGCAGGGATCACTCCTGGATGGGAGACTGGAGCTCCTAGAGGAAGGTACTCTGTGAGGCCGGGAGGCCAGGGAAGGCGGAGCGGGTTGGGTGGGAGGGCACTTGGCTTTTCGACTTTCACCTTGATGGTTGAGCAGGGCCACCTGGGCTGGAGGTCAGCAGCTTCGGGGAATTCTGAGGGGACTGTTGTGTTCAAAGCCAAGGGCTCGACGACACCAGCTGAAAAGGAGCATAAGAGAGGGGAGGACCCAGAAGGAGCATGGGGGCCCTTTTTCCATTTAGAGAACAGATCTGATAGTGGGTGACCAGAGTGGTGGTGAGTTTGGAAGAGAACGTAGAGCAGGTGAAGATGAGATTAGACCTTATTCATTTTTTTAATTGTGGTAAAATATACATAACATAAAATTTACCATGTTAGCCCAGCTAGCATGGCTCAGTGGTTGAGCGTTGATCTGTGAACTAGGGGGCCACGGTTTGTTTCCAGTTCGAGCACATGCCCAAGTTTTGGGCTGATCCCCAGTGTGGGATGTGTGGGAGGCAGCCGATCAATGATTCTCTCTCATTGATGTTTATGTCTATCTTCCTCTCCCTTCCTCTTTGAAATTAGTAAGAATATATATATTTTAAATTACCATTTTAACTTTTTTTTTTTTTTTAAATAAAATCCTCACCCAAGGATATTACCCCCTCCCCCCCGCAATTGATTACTAGAGAGAGTGGAAGGGAGGAGGAGTAAGAGAAACATTGAGGTGAGAGAGACACATCGATTGGTTGCCTCCCTCCAGCACCCCTACTGGAGCTGGGGAACCTGCAACTGAGATACATGCCCTTGACTGGGAATCAAACCTGCGATCCTTCTGTCCACAGGCCATGCCTAATCCCTGAGAAACCGGCCAGAACCACTTTTAAATATACTGTCCATTGGTGTACAGCACATTCACATTGTTGTATAACCACCACCATCCATCTCCAGATCTATTTTTGTTTGCCCAAATCCATAACCCACTTATTTTTAGTTCTTGGGGTGTAATGTCATATTGGGAAGCTACTGTGTGTCTGGGAAGCTACTGTGTGTCAGGCAGTGTCCCAAGCACTGGGCCTGGGTGTGAAGGGCTGGATTTCAGTACGAGGGACAGTGGTAGAGAGAGCAGCATAGACCCCTGTCCTGATGAGGGCCCAGGCTTGCCCCTCATGGGACTGAAGTTGGACCTTAGAGGGACAGCAAGTGGTGGTGATGCTGGGGTTGCAAAGTCCTCCCTCTCATGCCCGAGCCATAAGGCAGAGCGCTCTCGCTCTCTCTCTCTTTCTCTCTCGCTCTCGCTCTCCCTCTCGCTCTCCCTCTTGTTCTCACACACACACACTTGCCCTGCTGCTCTTCATCCCTCTGCCCCCCACCCCACTTCATGGATAATTTTATCAACTGCCAAGGTTAACTGGAAGTGTTTTAGTTACTAAATTTAAGAGCATGGTAATGATGTGTAGTAGGAACTACGATGCTGTAAACAAACGTATAGCTCATTGACCATGAGCAGTTTGCCTGCGGGGGTCAGTCATGTCACTGCTCTGCACAGAGGCTCAGAGGGACGTAGACTGGAGGCCTCAGCCAGCCAGAGGGACAGGCCTGGGCCAGACGTCAGGGAGCTGACCAGGATCCTGACCCCATATCCCCTACCCTGTGCTGCCTCAGGTACAGATTTGAAATGGGATCCTTTCGGAAAGGGTAAGGGTGGCCCTAGGAGAGTGGTTTGGATTTTCTAGAGTTATCTATGGTCCCTGCCTGATCAACTTGCCCTCAAGCATTTGCAGCTCTGGTATGCCAGGAGAGTCACCCCAGCCTGCCACCCTCGGCCGGAGGGACCCAAGCTGGACCTCCTCTGCTGCCAGCTTCTCTAGAGCCCCAGTGTCCCACTCATTTCATTTGGTGATTACTCCCAAACCAGCCCAACAGCTGTGACCCACAGTGATGCATCGCTTTCCCCCTGGTTCTCTGAAATATTTTTGAGCATAAGTAATACACATGGTTCAAAATGCAAAAGATACATAAGGCTTTTACAGTGAAAAGTTTCTTCTTGAGTCTCCTGGCCCTCAAGTCCTCTCCTCAGAGGCCATCACTGTCACCAACGTATTGGTAATTCTTCCAGTCAGAGATGTGTGTATGTGTGTATCAGCACACACACACACACACACAGGAACATATGCACATATTTTTTAAAGTATATATTTTTATTGGTTTCAGAGAGGAAGAGAGGTAGAGAGAAATAGAAACATCAATGATGAGAGAGAATCATTGATTGGCTGCCTCCTGCATGCCTCCAACCAGGTTCAAGCCTCTCAACCCAGGCATGTGCTCTGACTGGGAATTGAACTGTGACCTCCTGGTTCATAGGTCAATGTTCAACCACTGAGACACACCAGCCAGGCTAAGCACTCACATCTTAATGGCCTACTTTACTTAACCAGTTCTTTCAGGAAGGGAATTAAAGTTGCGCCCAGTCTCTTGCTATTACTATGTGAAATCCTGCAGGAATAACCGTGTTCTCATGTGGAGTCTCTTCAGTGGTGAAATTGAAGAGTTCTAATGTTAGCAATTCAGTGCAAACATTCTATTGGATCAATAGCATATCTGAACTAGGCTCTCCCCCAAGACTATTGGCATTCTTTTTTTTTTTATAATATATTTTTTATTGATTTTTTACAGAGAGGAAGAGAGAGGGATAGAGAGTTAGAAACACAGATGAGAGAGAGTCATCGATCAGCTGCCTCTTGCACACCCCCTACTGGCGATGTGCCTGCAACCAAGGTACATGCCCTTGACCGGAATCGAACCGGGACCTTTCAGTCTGCAGGCCGACTCTCTATCCACTGAACCAAACCAGTTTCGGCTGGCATTCTTCAAATGATTTACTTATACATTATCACCCCATTCCCAAAGGACTTAAGAACAGTTGGACTCATTTAATTGGAGAGTGCTGGAGGAAGCGGGGCAGGAGATGTTAAGAGCTAACATTGACTTCTGCCAGGAAGTACTAACATGCTTTGCTAAGTTGATGGACTTGTTGACTCCTCAGGGCCAGGGGATCACCGAGAAGGTCAGGGACTTCATATTCTCCTGCTTTTATACAGACATGGAAGTGGAGGGGCAATGAGCCCATGGCTCTGGCTAGATCACAAACTAGATCTGAGCCAGTGCAGGCGGGTGATTGTCTTTGAATGTGGTCTTTGGATAAGGTTACCTCTGGACACATTACCTCTTCTGGCAGCTCCCACCAGTGGATGCAAAGCAAGATGGGAATCTGCAGTGCTGCGGCAGCGGCAAGGTCTTGGCCAGATCCCACACCCTTCCTCCAGTGCCTGAGCCTGGTTTGGGGAGATGTGCAAGGCGTTGGGTCACAGTGACCTTTGGGATCTCAGCTGACAGTTTGGTGAGCTCTGCTCCGATAGACCTGACTTTGAATGCCTGACCTGAACTTGATCTAATTTGTGAACTCCAAGCCAGGCCTTTGCAAACTTCATCAAACAGGAGCAGACTTTATTTTTTTAGAAAAGTTTTAGTAGAATTACAGAAAAATAGAGTACATTCAGTACAAAGTTCCCATGTACACAACATCCGATTTCCCCTATTAGTGATACCTTACACTAGTATGATGTATTTGTTATAATTAATGAAGCAATCTGGATACCTTAATATTAACTGAAGTCCATAGTTATTCAGATTTCCCTAGTTTTAACACCGTTTTGTGTTCTGGGATACCGTGTTACATTTATGTTGACAAACGAGGTGTTGTGTCTCA